CAGTCTGTGAATTGCCTTTTAATTCTGTTAACTGTCTTCCCAAGAGCAGACGCTTTTAATTCTGATGAAGTCTGGTTTGTCATTTTTATAGATGATGCTTTTGATATCATAGCTAAAAAATCTTTGTCCACTTAAGATCCCACTCAAGATTACAGAAATGTTCGCTTCTGTTTACCTCCGGAAAGGGTACAGCTGTAGGTGTGACATTTAGGTTTACAGTGCATTTCGAGTTATTTTTGTATGTCGTCCGGGTATAGATGTAGGCTCTCTTTTTCTTTTTGCACATGCATATTCAATAGTTCCAGCATCATTTGTTGAAAAGACATTTCTTTCTCCACTGAATTGTCTCGTTTACATAATGTTATACCACTTCACATAAGTACAAGAACCTTATGTCAGTGTTATGGATTGAAATTGTGCCCCACAAAATTCATATGTTGAAGTCCCAACCCTCGGTACCTGGTTATGTGATTATATCTGAAGATGAGACCTTTGGCTGGCCGTGGTGGCTCACGCCTGTAATCACAACATTTTGGGAGGCCAAGGCAGGAAGATCACCTGAGGTCAGGAGTTTGAGTCCAGCCTGGCCAATATGGTGAAACCGTGTCTCTACTAAATAAAGAATACAAAAATTAGCTGGGAGTGGTGGTGGGCACCTGTAGTCCCAGCTGCTCGGGGGACGAGGCAGGACAATCGCTTGAACCCGGGAGGTAAAGTTTGCAGTGAGCTGAGATCATGCCACTGCACTCCAGCATGGGTGATAGAGCGAGACTCTGTCTCAAAAAAAAAAAAAAAAAAAAAAAGAAACAAAAAAGATAAGACCTTTAAAGAGGTGATTTAAGCCAGGCTTGGTGGCTCATGCCTGTAATCCCAGCATGTTGGGAGGCCAAAGTGGGCCGAAAGCCTGAGCTCAGGAGTTCAAGACCAGCCTGGCCAACATGGCGAAATCCCGTCTCTGCTAAAATACAAAAAATTACCTGGGCATGGTAGCGCACACCTGTAATCCCAGCTACTCAGGAGGGCGAGGCAGGAGAATCGCTTGAATCCAGGAGGCAGAGGTTGCAGTGAGCTGAGATCGCACCACTGCACTCCAGCCTGGGGAAGAGAATGAGACTCAGTCTTAAATAAATAAAGAGGTGAGTAAGTAGAAATGAGACATGAAAGTGGAGCTCTCATTCAACATGACTGGCATTCCTGTAAGAGGAGACCGGGTGGCTCACAGTCTCCCCGTCTGAGCACGTGTGGAGGAACAGCCATGTGAAGAGGCAGCGGCTGTCTGCAGACCAGGGAGAGAGGCTTCTGCAGAGACTGCACCTGTCAACGTCTTGGTCATGGACGTTCAGGCTTCAGAATGGTCAGCGGATACGTTTCTGCTGCTGAAGCCATCTAGTCTGTGGTAGCTTACTGTGAAAGTTCTAGAAAACAAGGAAAGTGGGGGTCTGTGTGATTTGGAGGACCAGAGCCTTTGTGCAGGTGTGCCTGACCCACCACCCTCGAGGCCTGGGCAGGGCTGAGGAGCCCACGTCTGTGCTTCTACCGGTTTGCACAGCCCTGGCAGCGGGAGACGGGTTCCGTGGTCTTAGGTGAACACAGGGCACCTGACTGGTCCAAGCACGCCACCCAGAGGCATCCTGGGAACTGCACCTGCTGGGCAGAACCTGGGCTCCACCTGCGCCTTTCCTGACAGCCCATCAGAGGCCAAGGTCTGTGGGCTGGGCGAGCCCAAGGCGCCCTGGTGTTGGCACAGAGCCTCTGGAGCCGGGAAGGTGGTGGCAGTGTTTGGTGGCTTCTTCCAGCCTGAGCACGTCCTCTGGGGCTGGTGGGATAGGATACCCTCATCTACAGGTCCTTTTCAGCTGTGATGACAAGAAGTGGGAGTGGCTGCTCAGGGTCCCTGGGCAGCTGAAGCGTGGGGGCCTTCCCTTGGCTGGGAGGGCCCCCATGGTGCATGGTGCCCTCGACGGGGACATGGGGGATTCGTTGTAGGGCAGGGGAGCGGCTGGTCTTGGGTAGAGAGGAGCAGAATGAAGGCTCGAGGAGGGAGGTGGCTGGGCAGAGGCAGACCCTGTGGCCATGCAGGGCTGCAGCCCCATCTGTCCTCTAGGGTCCCCCACGTCCCCTTATTCTGTTCCCCTTTGCCACCTTGCATTTAAGAGAGGCAGCGTGTTCTTGAGTCCAAGTGGGATCTGAAGCATCTGCCTTTGGAATTCCTCTTTCAGGTCAGAGGTGGCAGCCGGGGAAGCCGTCTCCCGTCAGCATTTTGGAGAACAAATGTTCCCGCTGCCTTGATCTGCCCAGCAGTGCAGCTGTCAGTCCGCAGGTCCGAGCAGACCCAAGACAGGGGCGTGTGCTGGAGACCCAGGGGCCAGAGCCTCAGCCCTGTCTATCCCATCCTTCTTCCGTGCTGTGGCCAGTGAGATTTTTCTCAAACAACCGATCTGGTCCCATCATTTTCCTGATCAAGACATCCTAGCAGCGTCCGAGTACCTTCAGAACAAAATCCAGCACCCCTGGCCTGGACACAAGGGCCTGCCCCTCCCGTCAGCAACACTGGCGAACGGCAGGTGTGCTGAGGACTCAGCAATAAGGGGTGCTTCACCACAGCCCATCCTAGCAAATCGCTCAAGGTTTCCATTCATTGATTCTAATCACTTAAATGATTAGCTAGTTCATTCCACAGATGCTCATGGAGCGCGCCAGGTGTGCTGGACACTGCTCTTCCTCCTGGGATCGTCAGGGAACCAGAGACAAAACTGTCTTCCAGGGCTTACGGGAAGGATACACATCTCAAACAAGTGAATTCTACCACAAGAGTGATTCCTTTATGGGAAGAGTAGAGCTGAGAAAGAGGCTGGGATCCCTGGGAGTGCACTTTGAGTCAGAGGAGGCTCCCTGCGTGATGTCTGGGTAAAGACATGAAGAGGGGCAGGGGCAGCCCTGTGGGTGTCAGAGGCAGAGGCTGACACAGGGCTGGGGGTGGCCAGAGGCAAGCTCATGTGGTGACTCAGTCGCCTTTAGTGACTCAGCTCTTACTCGGAATGAGCCCAAAGCCATTTTGAGCACAGGATGATGTTTACTGACTTAAAAATTTGAAGGATATCTGTGGCAGTTTCTTTGGAATAGACAGGACCAGGGGTGGCTCTTTCATCACCCAGGTCAGAAATGCAGGGTTCTGTCAGGCTCCGACATGCGTCGAGGTGAGAGGCCAGAATTTGCTGCCTGGCTGTGGGTGGAGGCATAGAAGACAGTCCTGAGGTTTCTGGCCAGAGCAGGGATAGGGTTTCCAGCCTCCAAAGAAGCGCTAGGGTGGCTCTGATCTGTGTGAGTGGAACAGACCCTTGAGCTTCCATGTGATGGGCGGGTGCCTGTTGGACACCCCGAGGGAGAGGTGAGACAGGTCATGGGTTATCTGGAGGCCCAGGAAAAGATCTAAGCTGAAATATGAATTTGGGAAAGTGTTACTTAAAGCTATGCAACTAGACGACCTTAAAATAACCTTCAGGTCGATCCATGATGGCTAATTAGAAACAGCTGTGGTCTCACGGAGAAGAATGAAAAGTGGGGAGTGAATTCAGCTTCTTCAACTGACATATCCAGATTCTCACATTGGGACTAATCAGGCAAGCAACTTGACTCACAGAGAACAAAGTGAAGCAATGGAGGGGTCGATGGCCTACTCTGGAGTGGTGCACGGAGCCAAAGGAACCCCACCCCGGCCAAGGAAATCAGGCTTCTCCGGCGGATCAGGAGATCCCTTCATGAGCCCCTGCCACCAGTGCCTGGGTCCAATACACAGAACTTTGTGGAACTTCAGCAGAGCAGCCACTCAGCCACACACAGAGACCCAGGCTTTTTACATACTCCAGCCCCAGGATCCCTGCCACAGCGGGAAATCCATCCTTCCATATTCCCAGGAAGAGGGCTGACTCCATGGAGCCAAGCGGAATTGTTCTGCTGACCTCACCTCCACAGCACCTCACAGGCTAAGACCCACTGGCTCGGAGTCCCAGCCAGCCAACAGCAACAGGCCAGACTCTGCCAGAGATGGGTCTGAGTTCCCAGGGGAGGCGAGGCTGCCATCTCTGCAATTTGGTAGACTTAGCCGTTCCAGCCTGAGACTTTGGAGAGTACCAGTGGTCCAGGTGACGGAGGTCCTCCATAACACAACACAGCTGCCTTGCCAGATCATGGCCAGAGTGGTGCTTTAAGAGTGATTCCAATCCACTCCTCCTCACTGGGCAGATCCTCCCTGCAGGGGCTTCAGCCACTCCAGCCAGTGTTCTTCGGGCAGAGCTCGGATCTCTCACTGGGATGGAGCTCCTGTGGGGAGGGGCAGCCACCGTCTCTGCAGTTTGACTTGGTCATTCCAGCCTGACAGCTCTGGAGAATACAAATGGTCTGGATGAGGAAGGTCTCTCCTCTACCAACAAAACACAGCACACCTGCTCTACCAAAAAAGCAGCCAGACTGCTTCTTTAGTGAGTCCCTGATCCCATTTCTCCTGACTGGGTGAGACCTCCCAACAGGTGTCTACAGCCACCTTCTGCAGGTGTGTCCAGGGTGGCAACAGGTCGGTGTCCCCCAGGACAGAGCTTCCAGAGGAAGGAGCTGGCTGCCATCTTTGCTGTTTCTCAGTCTTCACTGTGGTATGGGAAAAGCCAAGTCTCGAGTGGACCCCCAGCAAATTGCAGCCACCTTATGGTAGAGTGGCCAGCCTGTTAGAAGAAAACAAATGGAAAACAACAACATCATCAGCAAAAAAGTCCCCACGAAAACCCCATTCAAAGGTCAGCAACCTCAAAGATTGAAGGTGGACAAGCCCAAGAAGATGAGAAAGCATCAATGCAGAGACATTCTTCGCTGAGAGTCGCCGCAGTTTCCTGCTTCAACAGTGCTTGGACGGAACCAGGCGCTCGTCCCCCACCCTGGCCGGCTGCCCACAGTCAGCCCTCCGTCACCTCCACACCGCACCCTCGGAGGGCCCCAAGGCCGCCGCCACCATGATGACTGCATCACCTTTGCAGGTGCACCAGAACTACCACCAGGACTCAGAGGCCACCGTCAACCACCAGATCAACCTGGAGCTCTGCACCTCCTGTGTTCGCCTGTCCATGTCTTACTGCTTGGACTGCAATGCTGTGGCTTTGAAGAACTTTGCCAAGTACTTTGTTCACCAATCTCATGAGGAGAGGGAACATGCCGAGAAACTGATGAAGCTGCAGAACCAACGAGGTGGCCAACCCTTCCTTCAGGATATCAGCAAACCGGACCGTGATGACGGCGAGAGTGGGCTGAATGTGGTGGAATGTGTATTACATTTGGGAAAAAATGTGAGTCAGTCACTACTGGAGCTGCACAAATTGGCCACTGACAAAAATGATCCCCATTTGTGTGACTTCATTGAGACACATTACCTGAATGAGCAGGTGAAATCCATCAAAGAATTGGGTGACCACGTGACCAACTTGCGCAAGATGGGGGCACCCTAATCCAGCTTGGCAGAATATCTCTTTGACAAGCATACCTGGGAGACAGTGATAATGAAACCTAAGCCTTAGGCTGATTTCCCCACAGCCACGGGCGACTTCCCTGGACACCAAGGCAGTGCATGCATGTTGGGGTTTCCTTCACCTTTTCTATAAGTTGTACCAAAACATCCACTTAAGTTCTTTGTACCATTTCTTTGAATAAAGAAATTTGGTACCAAAAAAAAAATCAATGCAAAAATTCTGAAAACTCAGAGTGCCTCTTCTCCTCCAGATGATTGCAATACCTCTACGACAAGGGCACAGAACAGGGCTGAGGTTGACATGGCTGAATTGATAGAAGTAGGCTTCAGAAGGTGGGCAATAACAAACTTCACTGAGCTAAAGGAGCATCCGTAACCCAATGCAAAGAAGCTCAGAATCATGATAAAACAATATAGGAGCTGATAGCCAGAATAGCCAGTTTAGAGAGGAACATAACCTGACCTGATGGTGCTGAAAAGCACAATATGAGAACTTCACAATGCAATTGCAAGTATCAATAGCAGAACAGGCCAAGCAGAGGAAAGAATCTTAGAGCTTGAAGACTATATTTCTGAAATAAGATAGGCAGACAAGAATAGAGAACAAAAAATAATGAAAAGCAATGACAACCTCTCAGAAATAGAGGATTATGTAAAGACTCCAAACCTATGACTGACTGGGGTACCTGAAAGAGATTGGGGCAATGGAACCAAATTGGAAAACATACTTCAGGATACGAGACAGGTTAACATTAAAATTCAGGAAATGCAGAGAACTCCAGTAAGATACTCCATGAGATTAACCCCAAGGCACATAATCATTAGATTCTCCAAGGTTGAAATGAAAGAAAAAGTGTTAAGGGCAGCCAGAGAGAAAGGCCAGGCCACCTACAAAGGAAAACCCATCAGACTAACAGTGGCTCTCTCAGCGGAAACTCTGTAAGTCAGAAGAGATTGGGGGCCAATATTCAACACTCTTTTTTTTTTTTTTTTGAGACAGTGTCTCGCTCTGTTTCCAGGCACCAGGCTGGAGTGCAGTGGCATGATCTCAGCTCACTGCAACCTCCACCTCCTGGGATCAAGCAATTCTCCTGCCTCAGCCTCCTGAGTACCTGGGACTGCAGGTGCATGCCACCACGCCCAGCTAATTTTTGTATTTTTAGTAGAGACGGGGTTTTATCATGTTGGCCAGGATGGTCTTGAACTCTTGACCTCGTGATCTGCCTGCCTCAGCCTCCCAAAGTGCTGGGCTTACAGGCATGAGCTACCACACCTGGCTCAACATTCTTAAAGAAAAGAATTTTCAACCCAGAATTTTATATCCAGCCAAACTAAGCATCATAAGCAAAGGAGAAATAAGATCCTTTACAGATAAGCAAATGCTGAGGGAATTCATCACCACTAAGCCTACCTTGCAAGAGCTCCTGAAGGAGGCACTAAGTATGGAAAGGAAAAACTGTTTCCAGCCACTATGAAAACACACTGAAATACACAGACCAGTGACACTATGAAGCAACCACATAAACAAGTCTGCAAAATAATCATCTGGCATCATGATGACAGGATCAAATTCAGACAATACTAACCTTAAATATAAATGGGCCAAATGCCCCAATTAAAAGACACAGAGTGGCAAGCTGCATAAAGAACCAAGATCCATCAGCGTGCTGTCTTCAAGAGATGCATCGCACATGTGAAGACACACACACAAGCCCAAGATAAGAGGATGGATAAAAATTTATCAAGCAAATGGAAAACAGAAAAAAGCAGGGACTGCAATCCTACTTTTTGAAAAAACAGACTTTAAACCAACAAAGATCAAAAAAGGCAAAGAAGGCATTACAAAATGATAAAGGGTTCATTTCAACAAGAGCTAACTATCCTAAATGTATATGCACTCAATACAGGAGCACCCAGATTCATAAACAAAGTTCTTAGAGATCCATAAAGAGACTTAGATTCTCACACAACAATAGAGGAAGACTTTAACACCTCACTGACAATATTAGACAAATCATTGAGAGAAAATTAACAAAGATATTCAGAACCTAAACTCAGCTCTGGATCAAGTGGACCTGATAGATACCTACAGAATTCTCAACAAAAAAAAAGAACAGAATACACATTCTTCTCATCAACACATGACACTTACTTAAAAATTGATCACATAATAGGAAGCAAAACACAACTCATCAAATGCAAAACAACTGAAATCATAACAGTCTTTCAGACCACAGTGCTAGCTAGACCACTAGCTAGACTAATAAATTAGAACTCAAATTAGAACTCAAGATTAATAAATTCACTCAAAACCACTGAACTACATGGAAATGGAGCAATCTGCTCCTGAATGACTCTTGGGTAAATAATGAAATTAAGGCAGAAATCAAGAAGTTCTTTGAAAATAATCAGAACAAAGAGAAAATGCAGCAAAATCTCTGGGGCACAGCTAAAACAGTGTTAAGAGGGAAATTTATAGCACTGAATGCCCACATCAAAAAGCTATAAAAATTTCAAGTTAACAACCTAACATCTCAACTAAAAGAACTAGAGAACCAAGAGCAAACAAACTCAAAAGCTAGCAGAAGAAAAGAAATAACCAATATCAGAGCTGAACTGAAGAAGATAGAGATACAAAAAACCATTTAAAAAAATCAATGAATCCAGGAACTATTTTTTAAATTAATATAATAGACCACTAGTTAGGCTAATAAAGAAGAAAAGTGAGAAGATTCAAGTAAAGGCAATCAGAAATAATAAGGCGGATATCCCCACTGATTCCACAGAAATACAAACAACTATCAGCAAATACTATAAACACCTCTATGCACATAAACTAGAAAATCTGGAAGAAATGGATACATTCCTGGACACATACACCATCCCAAGACTGAACCAGGAAGAAACTGAATCCCTGTATAGACCAACAACGAGTTCTAAAACTGAGGCAGTAGTAAACAGCCTATCAACCAAAAGAAGCCCAGGACCAGACAGACTCACAGCTGAATCCTACCAGAGGTACAAAGAAGAAAGAACTGGTACTATTTCTACTGAATCTAGTCCGAAATATGGAAAAAAAGGGACTCCTTCCTAACTCATTCTATGAGGCCAGCATCATCCTGATATCCAAACCTGGCAGAGATACCAGAAAACTTGAGGCCAATATCCTTGACAAACATCAATGGAAAATCCTCAATAAAATACTGTAAAATCAAATCCAGCAGCACATCAAAAGGCTTACACACCACAATCAAGTTGGCTACATCTCAGAGATGCAAGCTTGGGTCCACATCCACAAATCAATAAATGTGACTCATCACGTAAATAGAACTAAAGGCAAAACCCACGTATTTGTCTCAATAGATGCAGAAAAGGCCTTTGATAAAATCCAGCATCCCTTTATGTTAAAAACTCTCAATAAACTAGGTGTTGGAGGAACATATCTCAGAACAATAAAAGCCATATATGACAAACTCACAGTCAATATTGTACCAAATGGGCAAAAGCTGGAAGCATTCCCCTTGAAGACCAGCACAGGACAAGGATGCCCTCTCTCACCATTCCTCCTATTCAACATAGTATTGGAAGTTCTGGCCAGGGCAATCAGGCAAGAGAAAGAAATAAAGCATATTCAAACAGGAAGAAAGAAAGTCAAATTATCTTTGTTTGCAGATGATATAACTCTGTATCTAGAAAAACCTATTGTGTCAGCCCAAAAGCTTCTTAAGCTGATAAGCAACTTCAGCAAAGTCTCAGGACACAAAATCAGTCTAAAAAATGTCTAGCATTCCTACCTACCGACAACAGGCAAGCAGACAGCCAAATCATGAATGAACTCCCATTCACAATTGCCATAAAAAGAAAAGAATACCTAGGAATACAGCTAACGAGGGAAGTGAGGGACTTCTTCAAGGAGAACTACAAACCACTGCTCAAAGAAATCAGAGATGACACAAATAAATGGAAAAACATTCCATGTTCATGGATAGGAAGAATCAATATCATGAAAATGGCCATACTGCCCAAAGTAATTTATAGATTCAATGCTAGTCCCATCTAACTACCATTGACATTCTTCACAAAATTAGAAAAACTATTTTAAAATTCACATGGAACCAAAAAAGAACCCAAATAGTCAAGACAATCCTCAGCAAAAAGAGCAAAGCTGCTACCTGACTTTATACAAGGCCACAGTAACCAAAACAGCATGATATTGGCACAAGAACAGACACACAGACCAATGGAACAGAATAGAAAACTCAGAAATAAGACCACACATCTGATCTTTGACACACAGACCAATGGAACAGAATAAGATCACTCATCTACAACCATCTGATCTTTGACAAACCTGACAAAAACAAGCAGTAGAGAAAGGATTTCCTATTTAATAAATGGTGCTTGGAGAGTTGGCTAGCCATATGCAGAAAATTGAAACTGGATCCCTTCCTTACACCTTATACAAGAATTAACTCAAGTTGGATTAAATACTTAAATGTATTATAAAACCCCAAACTATGAAAACCCTAGAAGAAAATCCAGGCAATACCATTCAGGACATAGTCATGGGCAAAGATTTTATGACCGAAATGCCAACAGCAATTACAGTAAAAGCAAAATCGACAAATGGGATTGAATTAAACTAAAGAGCTTCTGCACAGCAAAAGAAACTAGCATCGGAGTGAACAGACAACCTACAGAATGGGAGAAAATGTTTGCAATCTATTCATCTGACAAAGGAACTTAAACAAATTTATGAGAAAAAACCCGATTCCATTAAAAAGTGGGCAAAGAACACGAACAGATGCTCTTCAGAAGACATACATGCGGCCAACAAACATACGGAAAAAAACGCTCATTACTGATCGATCACTGGAGAAATGCAAATCAAAACCACAATGAGATACCATCTCATGCTGGTCAGACTGGCTGTTATTAAAAAGTAAAGAAACAAGAGATGCTGGCAAAGTCTTAGAGAAA